CATCAATCTTCCCCTGGTCTTAGAGCTTCTCAGCACAGGGTCATTGGGTCCAAAGGACACCCACCTCTCCTGGCTCTGCTTTCTTGGTGGTAGGAGGTCTTCTCTGTTTCTCTGCTTGCTTCTCTCTTTCATATCTCAAAAGAGATTGACTTAAGATACAACCTAATCTTGTAGATTGAGTCCTGCCTCATTAACATAACTGCCTCTAATCCTGCCTCGTTAACATAATGAAGGTAGGATTTACAACACACAGGAAAATCACATCAGGTGACAAAATGGTAGACAATCACATAATACTGGGAATCATGGCTTTGCCAAGCTGACACATATTTTGGGGGAACACAATTCAATCCATAACACTGACCAACATATACGTTGGTGGAGTCTCAGAAGGAGAAGAAAGAGATGAAAGGGCAGAAGGAATATTTGAGGAAACAGTGACTGAAAACCTCCCACATCTGATGAAAGATATGAATCTATACATCTAAGAAACTGAACAAACTCCAAATAGGATAAACCCAAAAAGATCCACTCCAAGACACATTATAATCAATTTCACAAACACCAGAGATAAAGAGATAAACTTGAAAGCAGCAGAATAAAGCAAATCATCATATGCAAGGGATCCTCAATAAGACTAAGTACCAATTTCTCCTCAGAGACCATGGAGCCAGAAAGCAGTGGGATAACATGTTTAAAGTGCTGAAAGAAAACTGTTAAGCAAAAATTCTACATCTGGCAAAATGGTCCTTCAAAAATGAGGGTGAAATTAAGACATTCCCAGATAAACAAACACTGAGGGAGTTTGTTACCACAAGATGTGCCCTACAAGAAATGCTAAAGGCTGTTCCTTCAGATTGAAATGAAAGGACACTAGACAGTAACTGGAAACCATATGAAGAAAACAAGATCTCTAGTAAAGGTAATATCATGGGTAAATATAGAGGCCTGTTTTATGGTATTTTTGTATTGTTACTCTACTTGTTATGTCCTACATGATTTAAAAGACAAATACATTAAAAAATTATAAATTTACCTTATTGAGCACACAATGTAAAGATATAATCTGTGACAACATAAAGGTGGGAGGAGTGGTATAGGAACAGAGTGTTTGTATGTTAAGTATGTGAAGTTAAATTGGTATCAATTTAAACTTACATTCCACGTTCCAATTATTAATGGATATTTGCAGCTGTTCTCATTTTGAGTCATGCCACATCAGCATATGAAGGCTGTACTCCATCCACATCATTAAAGTCGATACTACTTTGAGGAGGCAGCTCTTCCCCAGTTGTATTTTGAGTGCCTTCCAACCTGAGGGGCTCATCTTCCGGCATTGTATCAGACAATGTTCAGCTGCTATTCATAAGGTTTTCACTGGCCAGTTTTTTCAAAGTAGACCGCCAGGTCCTTCTTTCTAGTCTGTCTTAGTCTGGAAGTGCTGTTGAAACCTGCTCACAATTGGTGACCCTGCTGGTATTTGAAATACCAATGGCATACTTTCAGCATCAAAGCAACACACAAGTCACCACAGTATGACAAACTGACACATGAGTGGTGGCAGTTTAAACTAGGTTGTTATAAATTTATTAAATGTAACCCCCATGGTACCACAAAGAAAATATCCAAAAAATGTACACAAAAGAAACAGATACAAAAAGACAAATATTATATGATCCCATTATATAAAATACCTAGAATAGGAAAATGCACTGAGACAGAGGTTTATTAGTGGTTACCAGGGGCTAGGGAGGGTAGGGGGATGGAGAGTTATTGCTTAAGGAGTACTGAGTTTCTGTTTTGGGTGATGAAAAACTTTTGGAAATGGTGATTGTTGTACAACATGATGAGTGTAATTGTCACTGAACTGTAAACTTAAAAATGGTTAAAATGGCAAATTTTGTGTTATGTTTTACCACAATAAAATTAAAGAACAAAAAAAGGCACCTAGGCTGAAAAAAAAAAAAAAAACCTTATCAAATTATAAATTTAAATGTTCCTTAATTACATATGGACAACCATCTGAAAGGCTATTATAGACCTAGTTCTTTACCATATTTTTGGTTCTAAAACAGATATAAATTATCTGGCTACACTATTAGTCTTTGAACTGTTTGTATATTTGTGAAGACATTAATTTGTAAAATCTTTGATAGTTTAAAAAACTGAAGACGTTTTCAACAATATATGTGAGGTTTTTTGGCAGTATGGTATTGGTTGTGGAGTTAGGGGTGAGATCATGCAGTCAAATAAGTCAGGCTAGCCTTTGGAACATAGCTGTGATCAAGGCCTGATATGCACACTCCAAATATGCCATCTAGAATCTCTTACTGTGTTCAAGGAAGTGGTAAAAGTGGTAACATTTTGGAGTGTAAAATTGAACCACAGAACTCATCTTTTCAGACAGAGTTATAAAGAAATGGAAAATGACTTTGCTATTGACCCAGATCGGGTAGATTTATCCAGGGAAGGTGATTGAAATTTCAAACTCCAGTTGAAATTTTTTTTTCCCTTGTGGAAGTATAAGTGTGCCACCAACAACAACCCCCCATCCCTGAGTATCCAAAAGGTGATTTTTTATTTTGTTTTATCTTATTGTAGTTTCTAGCATAAATCCCTTGTTTTGGATTTGTGCTGGAGGCTAAAATAAATCCTCATGGCCCCACTCATAGATCCATCCCCAGAAGCAGAGGCAGCCTGCCAGTTACTTGGGTGCTTTGGAGTAGTGACAGATAGGAACAAGCAAGGAAGGAGTGGGGAGCCTGAGGCTGGTGATCCCCCCACACTCCCTACTTCTTTTCCCAGCTGCATATATGGTTCTCCAACACACTGCTTGAGACTTCATATCATAACAAAAATGTTTCCAAAGTTCACCTAATTAACAGATATTTTTCCAGGGATGCACACTCAGTGAAGACAAAGCCCTACATATTTTTACTGCAAATGGCAAATTTTCTATAGTGAAAAGGAAGCTTGAGAGACAAAAAGAGTTGATTATGGGAAGTTGTGGGCAGTGTAAGGCTCTTAGTCCATTTACATGGAATTAAAATTTCGATGCTAGTAGTAAAATAAAGAATACCATTATCAACATCCTATCAGGTAACTGTCCTCTGATTAGTAAAAGACTGATGAGTAAATCAGAGAGACTTTGATTCTGCTTTACGGCACAAGCAACATGGCTTCCCAGCAAGAAGATGTACATACTGAAATTTCCACCAACAAAAACACGAAAACATTGTACAGGTGACCTCAGGGAAGGCCATCTAGACCACCCTTTATCAATTAACCATAGTTAACAAAGCAGTGAAAGTTTTGCTTTTTGCATCCACATATTTATGAGAGTCTGAGTTCTCAAAATATTATGATACAACAAAGAAGAAAAATTGCTTAAACACTGAACCTAACATGCAGCATCAGAAAAATCAGCCTAGTTTCCAGAACTGGATATATGCAATTCCTCGTACACATTAATATGTTAGAAAATATTTTTTTCTCCTTGATGGAAAGTAATTTTAGAACATTTCGTTTTCATATTAAAACCAAAATGTTTACTATGGAGCAACATGAAAAATAAGGGTGAATTTTTAAGGTCAGTATGAGATTTCAAAGAATTTTTTACATTTGGAGAGCCTCAAGGTATTCATTATATTCTGCCATAGAGGAACTTTTGTATGGAAAAGTTTTTGAGAAACAAGATTTAATTCTGGGATAAGATTGAGTTGATTGATTTAAGACATTGATATTATAAGAGGAATTAAATTGAAACACATTCATTCCCCTTTATGTCACTCTCTGTATAAATCACTCAGCTCCCATCTCTTGCATGCTTATATGTATTCACATTCTTAATATATCTGGCTGGACCATGGTAGACACTTGTCGAAGAAGAGTCATGGTGTTTAGAAATTTTGACTATAGCATAGCAAAAAAGGGTCCTTATTGCAACGCAATGGCTTGGCTCCAAAAAGGATCCACAGGCTGTTTTTTGTTTTACATTCTGGCACACTTGCTTGTAGCATCACTCATTGATTTCTCACTAAAGCACTGTCATTCTGTCTGTTCACTGAGGGAAGGGAACTGGTGAAGGAGATTATGGTGTTACTTGCCCAGCTAAAGAAACTTGCCCCACCCTAACACTTTTTCTAGCCAGGTACATGTGTTTTAACTCCTGCCACCTGTATCCTATACCCACGTTTCGCCAGTTGCCAGGTCTCAGTAGGCAGGGTGTCTTAGTTATCTAGTGCTGCTATAACAGAAATACCACAAGTGGGTGGCTTTAACAAACAAAAATATATTTGCTCATAGTTAACAAAAAACCTGTTGCCATAGAGTTGATTCCAACTCATGGCCATCATATAGCAACCCTATACGACACAGTAGAACTGCCCCATAGGGTTTACAAGGCTATAATCTTTACGGAAGCAGACTGCCACATCTTTTTCCAGCAGAGTGACTGGTAGGTTCGAACTGCTGACCTTTTGGTAGCAGCTGAGCATTTTAACCACTGCACCACCAGGGCTTCTTTTTTCTCACAGTTAAGAGGCTAGAAGTCTGAATTCAGGGTGCTGACTGTAGGGGAAGGCTTTCTCTTTTTGTCAACTCTGGAGGAAGGTCCTTGTCTCTTTTCAGCTTCTGTACCTCAGGGATCTACGTATGGCTTGGCATGTGTCTTCCCCCATCTCTGCTTGCTTCTGTGTGCCTAATCTGCTCACTTAAAGAGATATACCCTACACTGATATGGCTTCATTAACATACAAAGAAACCTCTATTCCCAAATGGGGTTCAATCCATAATACGGGGCTGTGCCCACATTCCTCCTAAGACACGGGCTTCAACTGGCCCTCTCCACATCCACTGTATGCCCTTTTTGATGCTTTTAGCACAATTCAGAGTTCAGTAGGGCACCACTTAGGTTAGGCCTGGTTTTTGTGGACTGCCTAAAAAGCACTGCTGTAAAGAGTTGTCTCAGCTAAACATGTACCTTCCTTTCCACCCCACAGACATAACCAGTGCTGTGCAATCCAAGCGGAGAAAATCCAAGTAAACGAGCTGGACGGCGACTTGATACTTGTAAATGTGTGTGAATTTTACAAAGAGCAATTTTGAGCTGTGACTTTTCTAAATCCATTTCTGTACAGTTAGTCATTTTAATAACGTGGCCCTTTTCCTAGTCCCTGTAACCTGTTTCGTAAAGTGCAATGGGGAAAGCAGGGTTGTTGAGCCCTTTTGGTGTTGCAAAGTAAAGTTCAAGGTTTCTAAAATGTTGCCATGTACTGAGAGGAGCTAATGCCATTATAAATGTTATTAGTTTTCACATTTCCTAAACAGCCTAGAGTACAGGGTGAGCATTTTTAGATCTTCTAATGATATATTGTGCTGTGGAAGTATTGTGTGTGAATAGCAGTAGTGGGGGCAAAAGCAATCTTCTCATTTGGAAATGTTGTAAATAATTTTATTATATAGTGTTTTTGGATGTATTTGTTGTAGAAATGGACCAGTGAATAAAGAGAATCTAAGGGTTTGTACAATGTGAAATAATGTGTTAAATAAATGTCATTGTCCTAGAACATAAAGGTATGTTGTTGGTAAGGAGTTATTAGATGAGCAAGTTCTTTGAACCATAAATGAATAGGCACAGCTTTCCTTGTGAATCAGAATTCCAGCTTGCCCCATTGCACCAGAGATGCCCTCCTGGCAAGTTGAGGAAAATGCACATACTTGCTCACTCAACTCATTCAAGGACAGGAAAGCTGTCAGCAACCTAGATAACGCTTTTTCTCCACCTTATACATTTGCGTCTCAATGCACAGGATGGATTGCTCCCTAACAACTGTGTTTACATTTCCTCTATTTGAAATAAGCCCAGACTGACCAGGAAGATTCTTTGTATCAGTATCAAGAATTGAGCCCAGTGTAGGTCACATTTCCACTTTTAGTCCAGTTCTGTGGTTAGATGAGACAGCTTCCAAATAAAAGGGGTCATTTTATGCTACATACTTCAAAGATGTCCACTACATTGCACTTCTTTGCGCTGTTTCTCACCTCGGGGTGACTTCTCATCAACGTGCCCAGGTTTTTTCCCCTTTCCTGGTCTAACTTTTACCTCACAGTTTGTACAGTCTCCAAAACCAGCTTCTGTCCCTATCCTACCCCAGCCTTCAGGGGACTCTGCTGCTTCAGGCCCTGTCCTTGTCTCAGCCTGGGCTTCAGTCTTCTGCTGTGTCTCCTAGGGCTAGACTTACACTCCATCCTTTCCCCTCCAGTGCCACCTTGTTCTAGACTTACACTCCATCCTTTCCCCTCCAGTGCCACCTTGTTCTAGACTAACACTCCATCCTTTCCCCTCCAGTGCCACCTTGTTCTAGACTTACACTCCATCCTTTCCCCTCCGGTGCCACCTTGTTCTAGACTTACACTCCATCCTTTCCCCTCCGGTGCCACCTTGTCCTTGCCAAGAACTGAGACCAAGAGAATGAGTTGGTGATTCTGTCATGCTTATTCTCATGTCTATTTCAACTGTCTTAATGTTTTGCATTATAATGATCCTCTAAAAGTAGTTATTTATGAGTCAGACCCCACATTGTCTGGCTGTGCTCCCAGCAAGCTCATCTACCCTCTTCCTTTCTCATATGACAAACACGACCAGAATCAAAGTCAGCTTAATAATAATACCCTATGCCAGTACTGTGCTTGAGATTACAAAGTGCTTCCCACACTTTAGCTCAACTCAGGCAGAAGGAATAATGTGCTTTAAATAGATTTTTATTTGTTTTTCTTTATATTAATTTTTTTCTCCCATAGAGGAATAACATTACAATCTAACAATCAGAATCCTGTTACACACATACACAGGCATGCCACATGACCAGGTCAAGGTGGTTGTGTCCTTGAGTCTGTCGACACATCACACATAATCAACCAAAGTCTCCTCATTTCATCCATCCTCAACACAGAACACCCAAACGGGATGCATTCAACTTGGTTCCGTTTGGAACTAAGTGGCAGGGCAAGAGGGAAGTTATTCGAAGTGGGTTGTGATATGCCTGCATTCATTCCCCTCATGTAAAGCCATGTGGATCTGGGAGGCATCCAAGATCTCTGGTAGGTTCCTTGTTGCACCTAAGACATTATGGATCAGAGCAAGTTGATCAGAGGGCTCCAGGCAGGAGGCTGGGGAACGGGCATACTCCAAAACAGCACCAAACTGCATTCATACACACAGTGCCCTGCTGGAGCTAGACTGTGGAAAGCTGGAAAGTGACAACCAAATTGAGGGGAGCACTCAGACTTATTGGGGACATAAATGGAAATTGCCCTTTGATGTAATTGGGACTCACATTTTAAAAATGGAGTCCCTCTGGCATACTCAGTTTTGGCAAAGTGCTGGTAGTGACATTATTTAATACTCACAAACTGAAACTTCTCCAGGATCTCTGAAAACAGCAGTCAAGACAGACTCTAACCCTTGCTGTCTAAGGTTGCATAGGACTTTGTGAATTCTGGTTCCCTCATGTATTCAAGTTCTGTGGTTTACCTGAAGCATGCTCAAGGTGAAAGGCACATACACAGTCAATACAGTATGACGAGGTCTGATGCTTCAGGAGTCAGACTAGGAGATTGAGTAGTGTTTGTTCTTAGAAATCTATACACAATTAAAATATTGCCACACTCAAATGCTACAGAATCTATAGAACAGTACAAAAAAATATGAACCTTGCAACCAGGTAGGCGATGGAGGGTTCTAGAACTAGAGAGGCCTCCAGAAATATGGGTGAGGGCAGTGCCTTTTGAAGTTTGAAGCAAATGCCCTATACCTCAAACTCTTCCACCAGAAGGATCATGAACACTACCCAGGATTGACCTAGGCCCCATCTCGCAGTGAAGGAGTAGGCAGGAAGTGTTAGAGGAAGTTTTAGCTCTTGGAAGTGCTGAAGATTCTAAACTGTGAGGTGACCAAGGGGTAGCTGGAAGAATAAAAGCAACTGAATTTTGGGAGCCAAGTTAGCAGGGTTGTCAACCACTGGGGCCTAATGGACTAGAGATGAGGGCTTTGATCTGCTTTTAGGATAAATTTGGCTTACTCTCTGGGATAGGAGACCCCAGTAGTGCTTCCTCTGGGTCCATCCCAGCATCCATGGGGCTACCCCCTCCCCCCACCCCCATCCCTACATGAGGCCTGAGGGTACAGGGTCAGGGAGAGCAGCTGCCTTTACCCTCATGGGAATGCAGCGTTTTCTCCAAGACAGCTTGGCTATGGGGCCTGGATACCTGGAATTGGGGTGAGAGGGAAGACCTATGTTAGTATGTAACAGGAAATAATAAAAGTTTCAAGGAAGAGAGAGAACACACTAGAAAAAGACAGCTAGAAAGACGAATAGGGAAACAACTCTCGGGGCATCCCAAGAGGCTGTTGCTGGTGTCTGAGCCCAAAATTCAGTCCTACCATGAGAAGGTGAAAGCTGGCTGCCCCTGTCCCCTCTGTCTCAACCAGGGATTCAGGTTTCCTCCTCCAGGTACTTACTGGAGGAGAAAGGGAGGGAGACCATAGGGCACCAGTTTCTCCCCAGCAGACTAAAAAGGAAGAGAGCCCTGGGGAGAAAATAAGGAAAGTCCCCCTGAAGGCCCTGAACCTGGTTAGGGGACTATTTGGGGATTGGGACAGTGGAGCTCCTAGCCTATCAGGAGTGTTTGTTAGGCCTACGGCGCGGGGTATGAAATCCAAGGCCAGAGGCACGGTGAAGGCTGAGTTGTCCATCCTGGGATAGCTTCACCCCAGAGCCTGTCCTCCCTGTGTCATTACTCTGTATTCTTACCATGGGGTGTGCCCTTTCCCTGCCTGGAAGCCCTCTGGTCTGCATCTCCCCTAAGCTAGTTCTAGCACCTTGGGATGACATGTTGTGGTGTAGGATGGCAAGGTATTAACTAAGCTCTACAGACACAGGACCCTGCAGAGGAAGGAACTGTCTAGATTTCAGGAAGAGGCTTAGGAGGTGGGATTATAGGAAAGGGAAGTGGGGGCAGACTCCAGGTGCTAACCTCATAGCAGGGCTTGGCATCTCTGAGCAAGCACAGTGCCAGCTCCCATGGTGCCCTGCTCCCTACAGCTTCTTAACCTGTCTGTCCTATTTGTATCTCCAATAGGCCACCTCCTTTCCTCGATTCCCTCCACCTTCTCCCTCTGACTTACATCTCATGGTCCTCTTCCACATACTTTACCTTTCCAGGCCTAAGCAGCTCCAAGGAGCCCACCCCCGGGGAAGAAGGAAGTAGAGGAAATATAAAGGGAGAGCCCTAAGCCTGAACCCTTACTGGAGGGCCAGGACAGCAGCCCAGGCCCCACAGGTTGTATCTTGTCAGAGCTGGGCTCAGGGTCCCACTCCACCCCCTAACCATTTAGGAGGGTCTACAATGGCAAGGAATTAATAATAGGAACAAAAATGAGTGTAGTGTCAAACGTAGGGTAGGATGAGGGATGTAAAGTTGGAGTTAAAGGCAGGGAATAGGTCAGATCAGGGACTGGAAGAAGAGGCTCTCAGAAATTGGTATGGGGCAGAGGAAGAGGACTAGAGGGCAAGAGTGAAGGGGAATGTTAGGACAAAGATAGGGATGAGAATCAGAGAAGGAAGTATGGAGTGGCAGGGGTGGGGAGGGGAATGGAGGATTAGGTGCTGGGCATGGGGACTAGAAGGACGGAGGATGAGGGGGGTTCAGAAGTGGATTAGAGGGTCAGAGATAGAGAAATCAAGAGAGTTGGGGTGGGAGAGGCTATCACCCCACCTCACACACTCAAAAAAGGGGAAAGTGTGGTGTCCAGCCCGCAGTAGGCCGCAGCCACCCCTTGAGCAGCACACTGGCTGCGACAGAGGGGCCCGACGATCAGGAGCTGGGGAGGGGTCCGTGGCCTGGCCAGCAGACGTTCAGTAGTTGAACTGGCGCTGGCACGGCTGGTAAACGAAGCTGCCCTGGTGCTTGGGCCGGCGCGGACGGCTCTCTCGGACGCGGTTCTGTCGTTGCACCACCTTGGCACTCAGCGCGTGGCGTTCAGCCCGTTGTCGGGCCCGCTGCAGCCGCCGCGCCTGGCCCGCCTTCTCCAGCAGCGTGGCCCTAGCGGGCAGCGGGGCTGGTGCGTGGTGGAGGGCCCGGGGCTCACGGCGGGCGGGCGCCATCTCTCTGCAGGGACAGAGTGGGACTCGGTTAGGCTCAGATAAGCCGGAGGCCGCTGGCAGCTCCCACCATGTCCCTAGCTCCCTCGCCTTGGCGCCGCATTGCCTCTGCTCCTAGGGGCCGCCTACTACCCTTCTTGTGTGTACGTGTGTACAGACTCTTCCCAAGCCAACTGGGAGACGCCTCCTCGGTTCTAGCCCCTGTGACATTGACAGGTAAGCTGGTCCACGGGAAGCCTCAGTCTCAACCCCCAATTCCACCCCTATCTTCTGGACAAGCCTCTAGAAGTGGCCTCGCCCCTCAAGCCTCCAAGCCTGCCCCAGGCTTCTTAGCCACCGTCTTCTGAGCCCCAAGTCCCGTCCCAAACCAGTGTCTCAAAGCCCTACCCCTTCACCTCAGGCCAGCTCCAAGCCTCGCCCTCTCACCGGCCTCCCCCGGTGCATCGAAGACCTGCCCCCTCACAGCTCCGCCCCTTCCATACCAGATCTCCCGGTCCCGCCCCTTGCTTACGATACACGCCTCTCTAGGCTCAGTCCCCGGCCTGCTCACCCGTCGCTAAGGTGGCCATCAGGCTGGGCAACGTCAGGGTGCGGGGAAGGGGGCCCAGGCTCCAGCACTACGGTGCTGCTAGTGACGTAAACGGACATGCTGGGGTGCTCGATGAGGAGGTCCTCCAGGGGGTTGCTCTGGAGGCGGGCGGGCCCGAGTCCGGGACCCTCTGCAGTAAAACAGGCGGGAGGGGTAACAAACCAGCTCTCGTCCATGAAGGAGGGCGCGGGCGGGGGGCGGCCCGCGGGAGCGGAGGCTGCCCCGGGGCTAGGTGGAGCCGCGTAGCTGTCTACGGGGCGCGGGAGGGGGAGCCGTGCATTTGAGGGGGGGCGCGGCCAGGAGGGACACACACACACACCGGACACAGAGGGGCGGGGAGAGAAAGGGCATCGTTAGTCAGACCCGCAGACCCGCCCGCTGCGCCCACGGGCAGCCACGGGCCAGGTGTCTTGACCTGCTGCCCTTGGGCACCTGAAGTATGGGCCCCAACACTGCGCCCCGGGGAGACAGCCCATGCTTGCTTGGGGTGGGGGGGCTGTTACCCCTCTCTAGTGTCACTGCCTCAGCCGGACTTTGCCCTGTAGGCTTGAGGGAACTCCCCAATCCCTAGCAGTGCCCTTCCCTCCCCTTCTGGTCCTTCTGCGCTCATGATGGCTTCACAGGCCCAGGAGTCAAAGTCCTGGCCCCAGACTCAGGCCTCACCCGGCAGGTCAATGATGAGCCAGCCATCCACTTCATCTTCCTCGGAGACGAAGGCGCGGGGGCAGTCGGGGTCCTCAGAGGGCGAGGGGGTGCTGAAGAAGAGGCTGGTGAGGCGCTGAAACATGGTGGGGGCTGAGGAGTTAAGCGGCCTCGGGGACGCCCTATGGCTGTGCCGAAACCTGGGAGGCGAGGCAAAGAGAGGAGTCAGAACCATCACTGACTGAAGTCCACCCCTATTCTGGGCCTGGGACAGAGGGCAAGTGATACTACCCTTATCCCCCAGAGCAGTGCTGAGAGTACCACAGGGATGCATGGGGGAGGCTACATGATGGTAAAGTGTTTTCTCAAACGTCAAATGATAGTAATAACAATAGTGCCCTCCTCTGGGCTGTTATAAGAATTAAATGAGCTAAGCACTTGTAAAGGAGTCCTGGTGACTTAGTGGTTAAGCATTTGGCTGCTAACCAAAAGGTTGGCAGTTTGAATCCACTTGTCACTCCTTGGAAACCCTCTGGGGCACTTCTACTCTGTCCTATAGGGTCGTTATGACTCGACAGCAATAGGTTTGTTTTGTTTTGTGATTATTATAATATTGTTAACATTTGTGTGCCAGGCAAAAATATACTACCAACTTTACCTATACTACCTCATGTAATCCTCACAGCAAGGAGGCCTGGTGGCGCTGTAATTAAGTACTCGGTTGCTAACTAAAAGATTGGTAGTTTGAACCCACTCACTACTCCAGAGGAGAAAGATGTGCCAGTCTGCTTCCGTAAAGATTACAGCCTTGGAAACGCTGTGGGACAGTTCTACTCTGTCCCATAGGGTCACTATGAGTTGGAACTGATTCAAAGGCAATGGGTTTTCAATCTTCATAGCAACTCTAGGAAGTTATCCCCCTTTTACATGTGAAGAAACTGAAGTTCAGAGATGTAAGGAAACTTGCCCAAAATCCTGCAGCTGGTATGAGACAGAGGTATGATTTGAACCCATGCAGTCAGATTCCAGAGGCAGCACTCATAATCACTATACTCCACTGGTTTTGCTGGGTGTTATGTCTGGATTAGGCATTTTTAACGTGGTGGCCGGTGGTCATGGTCCACTATCAGGCCTGAAATGTGTGTGTGGGTGTGTCCACACATGTGCACATGTGTGTTTTCCTGGAAAGAAGGACTTTGGTTTTTATCACAATTTCCTAAACAGCAATCCTTGACCCCAGAGACTACTTGAGCCTGTGTGATTTTGAAAGCTGGCTGGCAGAAACCCACAGAATCACTATCTCAACATGTGATTTGGTAGGCGCTAGTCATATCTGTCAGATGAGGTCCAGAGGTCCCATTCCTACAGGTCCTTCTCCCCCTCACCCCCTTCCCAGGCTCCTGCTCAAGGGCAGCATCTCTGGCTAGAAAGAAAAAGATTGGGTTGTCTGGCCCTGGGAGACAGCAGGTTAGTGAGAGGTGATAATGGAGGGAGGGAGCTGTGAGACCCCAGGATCCCTTAAGGATGAACACTGAGGGCTGGACCAGGACGCAAGACCTCAC